TGGGAGGGGGCTGCTGCTGCTGCTGCCGGCTTCTCCTGCTGCTGCTGCGGCGGCGGCGGCGGTGGTTGCTGGTTTGGGCGGGTCTCCTCTCGGCTGCGCCGGGTCCAGGACTTCGCTTCGCTTCACCGGGTTATTTTTATACCAAACCGGCCGGTTTCAGGTGGGGAAGGAAAAAGGAGAGGGATTTTTTTAATAATTGTTTTTCGGGTTTTGAGATTTTTTTGGATTTTTAAAGGTTTTTTTTTTTTAGTAATAAATGGTGCGGCGGAGCTGGTGTGTCCGGGAAGGCCGGAGCACACACACTGCGCACACAGCACCGTCAGCGGCCGGGGGACAAGGGGGAGGCCGCCGCCCCGGCCGCTCTGTATATATAGCTACCCCGCCCCCAGCCACCTCCTCCGTACAGCACGCCACGCACTGGAAAGCTCCGGTGCGCACGCGCAGCCTCAGACGAGGAAGGAGGCGGAGCACTCCAACGCGTGGCGGCAGCGACTGACGCCATACTTTACGAAGGGACGCAAGGGCCCGGATTTGGGCAAATAGATAGCGCATGTGCACTGGAAGACGTAAAGAAGAAATGGATCACGAGTGGGGGGGAGGGGAAAGATGATGAATAAGAGTGAAACGCGCACGCGCATTTTGCTCACTCGCGACACTTAAATAATTGTGATAAGCGCATGCGCAAAGGGGGGCGGTGTTAACGACAAGAGTTTTCCGTAGACCATGCTAGAGATCGGAAATTCGCGGGGATTACGACAATGGGCCTAGTTGGGGACGCATGCGTAGAGAGATTAATAATTTTTTAAACTAAAGGCATCTAACCGAAAAGCTGTTTTGGAGATAGGAGGGAAAGAAGATGTGGAAGAAAACTGTACCAGAAATAAGAGTCAGAGCTTTCTTGTACTAGGGTTTGTCCTAAATAAGTTTATTTTATCTTCCACTTTAAGCCAATTAATCGCTCAGGCTTCGGTAGCTGCAGGACAGCTTTTCCTCTGATCTTCCCTTTGCTGGAAGACACAAGTACATCTTCAGGGTTTGATTCTTTTCAGTGCCTTTATTGGTTTTATTGATGGAGATCCTGGAAGCTTCTGTTTACCGATCTAATAAGGAGAGGGTCAAGGTTATTAGGCCCAGGCTTTTTTCTTCTTCATCATAGGCAGGATATCCGGTGTGTCTGACAGTCAGCGACATGCTTGGGGTGTGGGTGGAATGAAATGAATTGGTAATCAAGGAAGCTACAGCCTTTCGTTTGCAAGACCTGATCTTTTGGAGGTCACTAATTCGTAGGATTGCCAGAAGCAACTTGATGGCACGTAACATAACACACAAAGCTTATTTGTTAAGTGTCCCAGTAAAGCTTTTTGTTTACCCTTTTCATTAATTCTCAGGCAAAGCAGAAATTACCACTTGCTCTATGGTAAACATGAAGAGGTGTGTGCATGCATGTATGCATGCCAGGTGTAGAAAGGAGATGAGAAAAGAGTGAGTCTCAGTACAAGTTTGGAAATGGGGGTGGAACTTGGCCCAGGGCCCGTTCC